AGGAACGTAGGATCGCTTACCCTGCACCGCAGTAAGACATCAACCCATGAGGCTTGGTCAAGATAGAATGGAAGAGCCACTCCTCTGACGACATTTTCAAGAAGCAAGCAACTTCACATCAACAGAAAGCAATCGCAAATTAAGTGGATCGTGTAAACAACCACCACTCCAATTGAATTATCCCGGAAAAGTAAGTTAAAATCTATGTTTACAAGGAAGGAGGCTTAGTCTGAGCATACAAACCGATTCTACCTCCAGGACCATGCCGGAAGTTCTATCACTCTCTGGAACAAGGTCTCCTGCCGTGTGGTCAAGGTTCTGTGGCCCACGAACTATCAGGTCCGAAACGCAGAGCTTCGTACGCAGCCAATGACAATCAAACAATAACAAGATGCGTCCCCTACACAGACAATGCCCAAATTGGCTACGCGGACGAGGGTAACGCGTTAGCAGAGGAATGGAAATGCCTTGATGACTTGGAAGGGAGCTTAGAGGCTCAAGAGAAAAGGAGGCGGTGCGTAATAGGCATTGTTTAAATTGTCCCTGGTAGGTAAGAGGCGGGAACTGAATTGGAACGACTGGCTGGGGCAGAAACAATCCTCTGCTGAAGAATATGTGACAAAGAGTGCCCAGTCAAGAGCAGCCACTACATTCAACATTCCAGCATGCAAATTCAGTGCCTACGCAAACGTATGGTAAAAGGTTGTGCACTTCGATTACACGCTCATGTCTAGGCTTCCACAAATTCGATATCCATTCACAAGGCCATCCATCCGAAAAGTCGAGACCGGTGAAAAAATTCTATGAAGCCACACTGGTCCATGAACGCATTCTATTGCCCTAATAAGTTTTGGAGACTGCCCTTGTAACATAATACATGATTCCAGTGTACTGAGAATGAAGGAATTGCCTAAATTCCCAATAAGTTAAGTGAATGCAGAACAGTTCGCCTACACATGATGTAGTCGTTGACAGAGAGTCGGCAGTGCGCTACATCGCAATTGCTGTTGCTGGTATTCTTCGCTGCAGCGATGACCTCCGCCAAACGTACACGAGCTTCCACAGGGAGGAGGAAAGCAGGTTTGGTGGAGAGAGGTGTCTCAAGAAGGAGACTCAGTCGTGGCAGATGAGTGTGGATCCAAGTCGCAGTCTCTGTGGCGTGAGCCAACTCCTGCGCCACCGACTTGCGTGTCTTGTACAGCATCGAAGCGGTGTCGCGAAGGATAGCCTGCTCTTGAGCATCTTGATGTGGGAAAGTGCACAACTCCTAGCGAGTGAGAGAAGGAAGGTCAAAACAGATCTCCTCATCACCACTGATGAAGTTCACCACCTTCCATTCGTGAAATAAGCGATTTGACTTAATGATCCGGGAAAAGTAAATAAATTGAGGAGGACTATCAGCCAATAATTAATTAAACTTTGGAGGACAAACAATACAAACCTTCATGAACGCACTTACTATTTTCCTGACTTTTATCTTAGTTATAAAAATTGAGTGTTAACACGGTAAAAATGTAGGTACCACAGTTGAAGGTCAAAGCATTGGACTGAACAACAAACAATATTTCATTTTGCAATGGACTATACTACCCGGAAACCTCCTCATTCCCACAGATTAGGAGAATTTCGCCACTAAAAATGCCAAATAGAGCACCACATTGGAAAAACAAGCATTCGCATGGATCATGTGGTATAGAAGATGAAATAATGTAAACCACGAGATCCGAACCGATTGTTTCCAGCCCACTTCAGATCTCCATATGACCACTACTTCAAGTTACTAAAACCGATTACAAAAGGACCCGTCCAACTTGGTGGGACACAAGTTTCTATCAACGCAAAGCAAAATTAGAGCTCAGATAACAGTACGAAAAAAGGAATCGGATTAATGAATAGGCAGCACAACGTAGTAAGAAAGGATCAACGAAAAGATAATTCCGTCACTCCTCCTTTCGATGATTGTTGCTATGATAGACATGTTTTTTTAAAAAGACAGCGATCATTGTTCCTTAATGGTAGCTCGGAGGATCGAACAGACGGAT